GATACAGAACGTCACATCACTACCAACTGGTGGTAATCATCCCTCCCGGCTAGGAAGAGGTATTGAACCTGGACTCGCGGCGACAGTCGACGTGGGATTATTACTCCTGACTGGTATAGTCTGTGCGAGATGTGTGGTCTTGGTAGTCGGCTAGCGTGTGTGGCTAATTGTGGATTTTCCTTCTTCCTCCAGGAAAGTCGAGCGAAGAAGCGAGTTGGGGAGCACACAAACTAAGGGGGCTACAGCACGGGACGCACTGGGAGCAAGTGATGAGCACCATTAGCAAATTACATCTGAGTTAATTGTTGGACTGACCTGTCTATTCACTGTAAATAAAGTGCACTGTGGCATCGCAGAGTCTTGCGTTTTGGGTCCTACTTTCCTCATCGCCACGGTCTGCCAGCCAGACCGTGGCACACTGTGCTCAAAGCTTTGACTCTGCATTTTCTGCTCCTCAGTAATTCTGCAGTTTTTATGAAACGGAGCAGAACTGAAGATGAAGCCTCGGGGTCAAGGAGGAGAGCCACAATAAAAGACACACACAGACAGTCAACTGAGTTTTTACAGTGACTTCTTTCAGATAATTATACACATTTTGTAATCGATCCATGATGAACAAAAACTGGAGTCAAACACACACAAACCTATGCAACACTACAAATCAATTTCATGTAGTTTTTCCTTCTCTCAGACATGCACTACAGCCTACAGCCAAACTACAGCACATCTGTCACGATGCTGCAATTAGTGTCACTCATATTAGAAGTGAGTTAGATTCATGTCTGAAACTTTTGGTACAGAATATTGACTTTAATAAATGTCTGCAATGTTACAGGTCATGCAGGAAGTAAAAAAGACCTGACTGTGAATAATGTTTTGTGCTCTTCTGCACATTGGACAGTCAGGTGTTACAAAGTTACAAAGACTTCATGTTAATGGTGCAGGAGTTTCTAACAAAGCAGCCCTCCTCTGGATGAGTCCTGAGCTGTCACATACACACACACACAAATACACACACTGTTACGTCCCGTGGCCTCGTTTCCAGATTTCTGTATTTCAAGTGGAAGGTTTTCTTTCTCAGTGTTCAGCTGTTATAGTTTCACAGATTTTTAAATATTTTGCAGGTTGATCATGAAGATCCTAAACCGTTTGTTTCAGCTGTGAGATACTGATGCTGAACTAAACAGACCGTGAGCCCAGAATTACTAACACACTAAATAACACACAGACATCATAATTAGCCTCTACTTACTTCACTTAGTTGAGGCTTCATGTCTGATTTGCTGTAATGTATTTAAAGCATAAAGTAAAGGGGACAAAGCTGAATGGCACGGAAGGTTATGGTGTAAGGATAAAAGCAGTTTCCAGTTACGACGTAAGTTAGGAGGAATAAGCAGAATAAGCCAATATTTATATAATGCAACTTTGGGTTCTGGTGTTTAGGTAAATCGATAAATAGATAAACAAATAAATAGCACAAATCACTAAGAGTAAAATTGCAATGTACCATTATATTAATTAATATATCTAGCTACCTATCTTTGTTTCTTATTTTGACTGTCCTGCCTGGCAGCCTTTGCAAGCAGAATCATGAACTGAATGCTCTGTTGTGCCAAACACATTTACTTTGCCAAGAGAAGATCTGTAAACTCTATAGGCTCCTCTTGTTATTTATTTATTCAGTTTTGTTTTTATTGTTCTTTTGTTTTTATGTTTTTCATTATTATTGTTATTATTATTATCGTGTAAATGTGCCATAGCTGAGAGGCGGGGGAGAAGAAAAGAGAAAGGACCGAAATAAATAGAAATAATAAGGATGAGCACAACGGGTCATCAACTGCTGCATCTGTAACAAGATGCCCTCGCGGTCAAAGGGCTAAGGCCTTAGAAGACCAGAGGCAACAACCAGCCGACCCTGCCAGAGGCCGGCCACCCCAGAGTGAGCCAAGGGTGGGACCCCAGGCTCACCCAGAGTTAAGGCCCAGAAGGCATTCAAGAAGACAGACCACAGCGACCACCACCAATAACTAAAGGAACTGATCAGTGAGGCCCAGAGAGAATCCAGTTCACCCAGGTTTTTAGAAGAGGCCGAGATTCTTTCCAGACGTGATGTAGAAGTACATTTTATATTGAGTAACACGTAAATTATTTTTGAACTTTCAGTTCATGAGGACAGTTTTCTTTGCGATGGATAATGCAGTAAGAACTGTGTGCAATGTAGTTGCTTCCATTTCTAATTCATTTATGTCACCTAAAATACATAGTTTGTTTGAGGTTGCAATGCAGCAACTAAACCATGTGGACAGGTCTTCACAAATCCTTTACCAGAAACTCTTGAGAGACATACAGGACTGTGGCAGAGTGTGGTCTGTGGCTCCGCTGCAAAGGAGGGGCTGTGCCAGGGAGGCTGGCAGGGCTGCTGGAAGCAATTCAGTAACTATGCTCTCCATATTTCAGGGACTCCAGGACCTGGAAAAAATGAGGACAGGTGGAGATAGACTCAGAATTGAGTCTAGCTGGATCATCGTGGTTGGTGTCTCCTAGGAGTCCATTAT